AAAGGCGAGACATTACTGTCCTGGGAGGTGATGTGAAATAAATGTATTACTAACTGTTCTGTCATGTTCATGGTGCGGCAAGGTAATGTGAGACATTGTTATGTTGATTAAAACTTGGAAGTCATTTTCACACCATGTCCTCTCCCCAATCATTCAAATCCAGAACATATCCCCTACTATATGTACATGTAACATTAAAACCATCATCATCCATCACTAAAACCCACATCATTTCCAAAATCCCCCCCCCCCCACAAACTGATATCCAGTCCATCTCCCCCCACCACTTAAATACTAACAAACTTTTTCTACTACTTTATATCAGACAATTTAAGATCATACTCCACCACTCAAAATCCAGACCATCTCCCCTAAAATCCAGACCATCTCCCTAACATGTACATGCATCTCCTTTCCCACACTAATAAATCTGGACCATCTCCCTAACATGTACATGCATCTCCATCTTTTCCCACACTAATAAATTCGGACCATCTCTCCAACATGCACATGCATCTCCCCTTTTCTCACACTAACAAATCCTGATCAATCACCCCCACAGGTACATGTACATGCATCTCCCCCTTTTCCCACACTAATAAATCTTGACAATCTCCCCTACATGTACTTTATCCACCACTTCCTCCAGACTATCTCCCCCCAATCTCACCTCACCTCTACAACCCCCAACCCCCCATTCCCTCCACCACTAATATCAAAACCATCTCCCTATCATGGACTTCACCAATCACTCAAATCCTTTGAAATTGCTTTAAAAGTAGTGCTTAAAATAAACTCTTTAATTTCCTATTACAAATATTTCTACAATGAAAAGAAGAAAACCAGAAAGATTCAAGACATAATTAAATTCAATGACAGGACAATTTACTTTATCAGTGAACATGTCTGTTTATTTACCTCCGTCTATAAAGATTCTAGAATCACACCTTGTCTACCTCATTATTTCTTTAAATTAACAAAATCACATTTAGAAATCAAATCTGAAGTAGATTGATTTTAATTTCAAATTGCCATTAACATTTCCATCAACATAAATTATTCAAATTTTAACTGCCGAGGGATCTTCATGACATGCTCTACAGTAAATGTATCGGACATTTTGAACTTTGTGCCAGGCATATATCAATAAAATAAATAATAAAAGACAAATCTGAGTAAAAGACTGCAACTTGACAATTGCAAGAGAAATGGTGCCAGACAAAGTCTATGTCCCGTTTTCAGGCTCAGTGCAGAACATGCACACATGTGGAAACATGGTATGAAAAAATCCTGAAAGTTCTTCTTGTTACATTCTACATCAGGATTCAGACCTGGAGTATTCTAGTTGAGGTATCCTGGGGAATAAGATGTGCTTATGCATACTAACCTTAGGCTGTCTACAGTTACATGTAGCTCTGCTTGAGAACAGATACTAAGCTAGTTGACAGACATCTTATAAGTTCTACATGTAAATCAACCATTTTAGATGAAAACACTTAAGTAACTTTGAAAAATTTTGTTAAGTATTTATTCTGCTTCCATTTAATAAAATAGAAAATGTTTATTTAGTCTTTGTGTGTATGGCGGTTTGCGAAACGGAGTAGAACCGCATTACAAAACAGTATACTAATTTTTGCTGCGGCCATTTAGGGCAGAGATCTATTCTCAAAGTATGAAGTACATGTAGATGGATCTCTGTGTACAGAATGGTGCTTACATGTATGTTCTAGTCAAGAGGTCAGTTCCTTTCAGTTCCAACACATACACGCGTGGGCCAGTGAGTACTAGTTCGGTGGCTGAAGGGGGGAATTGCCATTTCCTGACAATTTTACCTCCCAACCCCCCCTTCCACACATGCACATCTGCAACCTCCACCCCACAAATCATAAATTCACAGCTCGGGTGGTACCCCTGCCCCATTTTAGCCACCAGATTATACAGCACTGGCAAAGCTCTTTCAGACGGACAATATGGGTAGTCTATACTGTGATAGAGATGCTATTGATGTACAATGTGTAGACTTAATAGGATATTGCCTCATTAAGACCAATATGGTCCAATTTACATGTTCAAGTTTAATTTGTGTCTGTGTATTAGAAATCCTGTTTAATTAATTGGTCTGTGTGTATAGCAGATTAATCACAGATGGATATTGCACAAGGGGGCTGTAAAATAAAACTAATATACAGGATTTCCCCAAAATGAATCGCAACACGACACAATCCAAGATTCTAATTCCAAAATTGATAAAAATGTGCAATACTGTCACAATATATAGATATACATGTTTGCTCCCCACTATACATGTACATCTGTACTGCAATACATTTTATGTTGTAATACACATCCCTACTACCAGACATGTACATACAAATGTATCATATCATTTTTGTACTTCAATTGAACTTTGGAGCAAATTTGACTTAGTTTTTGGTAGACATGTATGGGTGTGCAGTCTTTTTGTAATAATGAAAGATTTTTCTGAACACTGCATACCAACACACCATGTTCTAACAAAAAGGCAATATCATGTATTACGTGTATGTAGTACATAAAGTAATTAAAATAATACAATATTTAAAACAAAACAATTTGTCAAAAAAGTAGATTGTACTTTTTATTTGTGTGTCGGAAAAGATCACTGGTGGGGAAATGGGAATGTTTTTATCAGACTTTTTGTGTGATTTAGTAAATTGTGTGATGATTACTAAATATTGGTACAGTGTATGGTATCACTAAGCCCATTAACAGATTAAAGTGATTTACACTAAAAGAAAAACCACCATCAAGCTTGATATAATTACATTAAACACCAGATTAGTTAAAATAACATAGTTGAAATAAAAAAAAGGGTCCAAGTTTCAAGGGTCTTTTTTATTTATACCCAGTCAAATTTGCAAATTGATACATGTACATGTAATTTATTATAAGGTCCATGGTGTGTCATATAACTTTTACATCCTAAAGTGTGGAATTATAAAAATACTCCCACAGATGAAAGGTGTTTTAGTCTTTCTCCATATGTGCACAATATTTTAAATTAAAACCCTTGAACCCTGTTTGAATTTTTGTTGAATGTAAAAAAAAAACAAGTCCCCATATCAAAAACATTGTAGGGGTACAAGTACATGTATAATCTATAACTATTAGGGAGCATGATAAACATAGGGGTTGTTACTTTTAGGATATGAAAGAAAATACATTATAGTGTAAATGTATAATACCTACATGTACAGTATGTCACAGTTAGAACAATTCAGTGTTTAATAACTATGGTATACTAATATTCATTATAACAACACATTAATATTGACCAGTATAATATAAATATCATTTTATATTAAAAGTTTAATGACATTTTAGGTCATTTTCAAGTTTGTCTACTACTAAAACTATACCAGTCGATATTGAAATTATTTATCAATATGAAACCACTATAAATAAAATATAAATAAATAGCCTGTACTTTGTATTGACTCAAATTGACTGGAATACACTCCATGAAACAGCAGTTTTAATTCCTAAATTTCATGATCTCATTAAAATAGACAGTTGAAACAAGCTTGATAATATTATATTAATATCAATATTGTTCAGCATATTTTCATTAAATAAATGGGTTCTGTTCATTTTGCCGTATCACATGGGTAATAAAGCAAACATATTAAATAATTCAATTCAGCCATTCATTACTGGTGTAGTAGGATATAATTACTTCTTGATTGAAACAAATTCAGAAATGCTTGGATGAAATTGTTAGGATAATGTAAGTAAGTACTTTAAAAACAGTTCAATTGGAAGAGTAAAAGTACAGGTATGTCAAATTAAAAGGACAAAATGTACATATATTACGTGTTTATATTTAAGTAAATAAGTAATTAATAAATAAAAAAAAAAGGAAAATACTGCATTGTATTGGCTTGTTGCAGGGAGTGTAAATTTTGTCAAACTTTGCATTTCTATCTATTCCACCGAACCACTTTTGTTTAGAACATCTAAAAAGAACCATTGAGACTAATATTCCAATCTTTAAAACGGTACAATTTACATGTAGCAAAAATTTGGGCATCCAAACCTCAGCATTATTCAAAGTGATGTGGTCATAACAGCCATAAAACCAAAAAGGTCACAATTCACTTTGGTCAACACAACCATAACTTTAATCAAAACAGGCATAACTTTAATCAAAATGACCATACTTTAGTCAAAATGGACAAACATATTGATTTTGAAAAAACAACATATTATATTATTATTTTACAAAATATTAATTTTTCTTTGATAAAAATACCAACTGTGGCTATTTTAGTCAAATATTTCTGCACTCTTTAACTCAAGTCTTACTCAAGGTGTAATGTAATCATATCCTGTGAGTAATCCCATCACATCAGGTTAGACAAAAAGGACAAATTATGTAGTAATTAATTAAATAATACCTTTCGGGGGTTTTTTTTCACAAAAATTTGTGTCTTAAGTAGATTAAACATTTTCTTTTATTTGTCGGAAAAGATCATACAAAGGGCAAAAAAAAAAAAAAAATGATTTACAAATAACAGAACTAACATTGTGAATTAATTTAAATAAAATAACTCCTTTATTACATGTAACTCATTTGACAAAAAGAAAGAACAGGCATGGTAACGGTACCGGTATTATGATTGACATCCTCCGTCAGAATCTGACAGGCGGTCAACCATCTCTTTCTGTTCGCACGTGCTGCTAATTTGACAGACAGCCAAAAGAGTGAACCCCGCCGTTCTAAAGCCAGAAACAACATTTTTTGTTTAGACTGCACACTTCGAATAAATATTCCGTTTCATTTGGAAAACTTTTACGGTTATATTTCACGGAGCATGGACCTCTATCAAATCGACGTTTACATCACTTCGTGCTGATAATAAACTCACTGACAGTGAAAACTGTCTTCTCAAGAGAGAAGTTTATCTTCTTATCAGTTTCAAGACTGCGGAAAGTCAGAAAACTTTGATTTGTTTACTTACCGAAAAATCCAAAAATGACAGTCGCCAGCAAAACACATGGTATCGTCCAATTCATGACAGTATCCGAAAAAAAATATTCACAGGTATGTCCCCATTCGTAAATAACAAGCACAACTTTTAGCTTTAGATTCCTTCAATTATCTCAAAGAAACAAGCGTGGGAAATGCTACACGCTTTGCATCTTTCAGCCGACATTTCAGCAGATCTAATACTGTTTGATGTCCTGTAGCCAATCAAAATTCGCGTACTTGTTACAATCGACCAATAAAATCTCATGGAAGAACAAAGCCACAAGAATGAAATCTTCATCAGCTCGGGGTTCAGGGGTCGAATGTCGATGGAGGTCAATAGTATAGCTTGCGCCATCTATCAGTGGGAACGGGAACTAAACACCGTGAATTTCCATACGTAAACCCCTTTTCGTCCTTTCTGGCGAGGTAAGATGGCTGCGCCCACAAGGAATAAAATGTCTGCTCTTAAAATTGAAATAAACCCAAATTATACATTAAATTAGAAACTAATTGTGAAAGATTAAGACTTTGTTTTGCAGTTGATAAATGAAACTTGATATTTAAAGTACTAAAATCTTCACATTGATAAAATATTTAGATTATTTCGAAAAAGTTGAATATTTCATTTTACAGGGACGAAAATAACACATGTGGTGTAATCATGCACGTGAAGATCAAAACTGTTTCGAAGGGGCTGAAGGCCAGGATATTCCGTTGTTTTAACACTATATAATCTCCAGATTCTTTCACACAATTTTCAAAACACAATTTTGCCTGTTCTTTTTAGTTGGCCAACCTAGATCTACAACGGTTCGAACAAACTTGAAACTAGAAAATCACCAATTCATGAGTAGCCATAGGATAGGCCCATACTCATAGGTCAATTTAAAATTACTTCACTTCCAACCATAAGATATGGATGCGAGTGAATGAAAAGTATTGAAATAATCTGCTTGCATATAATTTAAAGGGTTTAAAACTCTTAAGTATTAATCAGAGTCTTTGACATTGTTTGTAAACTCGATTTATTGCTCCATTTCAATCAATACTGATATCTTGCCGTGAAAAAATTGGATAAGAATATCCAAAATAAAATTTAAGACATGATTGATAAACAATATTAAAATCATTTGACGAGAACGCATACTCTATGCTCTGAAGCGCCATTGGTAATGAGGCAAAACGTTGATGCGTAGCTGAGACGTTAAACCGTACTTCCGATGCAGACTTGATCAACTAATTATGAAAGACTACCAATCAATTTGGACATTTCACATATTTTAACGAACAAAACTGATTAGAAATTACAAGAATAGTTTTTTAAAATATGAATGTAGATCAATTTATATGCTCCATTTGCATTAAGGCCGTGTTGAATTGATTCCTTGTTTCTCCTGCCACCACTCTGTCAATCATGTGCGGTAGTGCGGTAAACACAACACAAAGTGGATTTCAAAACACAAAGTTATCTAGCATAATATCTATAGTCCGAGGGTTGTGTACCCTTTTTTAATATTATAAATAATCTACTTATATGATTGGTTAGAAAGAAAACACAAATAATATTTAATTGAATAAATTTAATAAACTAAAATTTGGTAACAAGTGGCTTCTTATTTAACTTTTTAAAATATGAAATAACCATATTTTGATATAAATTTTCCGTATTCTTGTGTTACAATACAATAGAAACATTTCAGTTAGACGAAATTTGATTTGCTTGTTGAGTTATAGACGGTTTCGACAATATCATCGAACGTGAAAGTGCTGGGAATACCCACCAGAGTCCAGTCGAGATAGGTAAATTTGCGTACCGGTCTGCCTAATTTATTGATCTTAAAGGAAAATAATAGTGAGTCTAACGATAGGTAAATTTGCGTACCGGTCTGCCTAATTTATTGATCTTAAAGGAAAATAATAGTGAGTCTAACGAACGGGACCACTATTATTTCCTTGAAGATCAATAAATTAGCGGTACACGAATTTACCTATGTCCCGGCATAGCTCGCCATTTTGTAAGGCGTGCATAATTTAGTACACAAGATATGATTGGACAATAATGGCGTGTTATAATTTTAGCGACTGTCTTACAGTTTATAATATGCTTTCCCATTAGCCAAAATAACTACTACACGCGCCATTTTGTGGAATTCATCCAATCAAATACAGTGTAACTTATTCCATGGTATGTGGGCCCCTACATCTACATGTGTATTATCAACATCTTTAGTTCTTAACGAGGAATAAATAATGAGATTGAGAATTGACTTCTGATGTTTGGTAGAATTTTATTTAGATGTTATGAACATAATTTTTTTTGTGTTAAAAACGTAAGCGCACGATTTTCGGGGTCCTCGAGCTAAGGGGCGAGGAGAAACAAGGAATCAATTCAACACGGCCTAATAATGTACTTTTTGACCAATTTTTGTCGATGTTAGGTTCCATTGATTAGAGATTTATCCCCTTTTAAGTAATAGCTTCTCATTTGATGTTGTTATTACCATTAGATATGCCTTACAATTAGAGATGAGCTGAGTATTGTTATTATTCATTATTGACCAGAAATTGTGTTATTGGAGCAGATGCCCTACGTCTTGTTTTTCTCAATTCGATTTTGTTTCGAATTTGAGCATGGCAGACTTGACCTACATACATGTATGGTATGAATAACAAACCTTTGCGGTGAGATTTGACAGTTCGGATGTGAGACGTTACTTCAAATCAACCAGAGTTAATGTAGCATCTTGGAAATGAAATATTTAAATTTTGTAACCATAAATTTGTATTTGGATATTGCAGAATTTCTTTTCTTGTAGGTGGGTCCTTTTCTGAACATTTTCAATATGTCTTCCTTCAGCTCCATTATAATATTTTTTGTATTTTATTTTAGGCATCTTGAAAAAAGAAGATGCAGATCTTTGTAAAAACCCTAACGGGTAAAACAATCACCCTTGAGGTGGAACCAGCTGATACAATAGAAAATGTTAAAGCTAAAATTCAAGATAAGGAAGGTAAGTCTAGAGAAACCAGAACTCTAATTGCATAGTTCAGAGTATAATGGTATCTCAGGGCTTGCCACGAGACGCGAGCGGTGCAAGCGAGCGGTTCGTTGCTCGGGCAAAATTTTGAGAAAAACCTGTAAAAATAATCAAAATATTGATAAGTTTATTGCCGAAACTAACCCGACAGTGTCAATAACATCATAAATTCGTCTGTCAAACTGAGATTCACCCAGCTGCACGCGGCATTTCCTCCTTAAATTTGATTGGCTAATGAAGTTACTCACCACTCGTGTTACTAAAAATACACTTGAGACCTGAACGTCATGACTGGTTTTCCCACGAACACCAGTAACAAACGCGTGATAATCGAGTCTAAAGTAAAGAATGTTTACATCCGGCATTTGGCATTCACGCTAAATAAACACGTTTCAAACTAATATTTATCAATATTTCTTATTTTATCAGAACTTCGGTTTTTATTCCATTGTGCAGTCGTATAATTTTCAATCTAAGCGTAATAATGGCCAAAGGAAACCCGATTGCCCTATCCACATTTATGTATCCACATTTATGTCGTGGGGTGAAGAAATCCATACGGAGATTGGTTTTAAAGAAGAGTCGTATGACTATGACTGTCAAAAACAGAAAGCGATGGTCACATGTTTACTGCAAAGCCAGGAATAGCAATTTCATATGATTTTAAATTGAAACAATGTTACAAAATGTGTGCTCACGCAAACAACATTTTGCGTGAGCAATTTTTATTGCTCGCCCAAGCCTAAATTTGTGTGAGCAGTCATCTGCTCGCCATCAATTTATTCGTGGCCAGCCCTGGTATATTGCAGGAGGACCGCACCACATGCAAACACAAAACCGACAAGACAAACCTGCAAACAAGACAAAACTAATAGACATTGCAAGAAATAAACAACGAATATCAAATCAAGTGAATGGATCCGGGTCATAATTAATCTATCCAGCAGTATAAAATATGTTCCAAATTATTCCAATAGTAAGGCTCTGGCTCAGGAACCGGGTCACAGGTTCGATCCCAGATTTGGAAGAGAAAGTTCCACATAATTGTTCTGCATGGTTTTCCTCATCAGTGGAGCAGGCTGGAAGACCTGGCAAGGAAGTGTTGAGTCATTCAGATGGAATAAAAACTTTGGACTTGTTTACATGCATAAAGAACCCTTGACAGTTGAAGAGTAGAAAAATTTACTTATCACATCTTCATATTAAACATCCAGTATAGTATGACAGTATCATATGTAATAGGACGCATGCACGACAAGTTTTTGTTTCATTCCCTTATGTTTTGACTGCAATATATATTTTTGTTGTTGTTGTATTTGGAGTTAAATTTTTGAGCACTAGCTCAAAGTAAACAAACTGTTAACTTTGTCATTTCAGGTATTCCTCCAGATCAGCAGCGTCTGATTTTTGCTGGTAAACAATTAGAAGATGGCCGAACTTTATCTGACTACAACATTCAGAAAGGTGAGAATATTTATTATTCATGAAGGGAATCTTGATGTTACTTGGTCTCTGTCTGTACCACGTGAACTGAAGCTGATTATAGAATAATATATGGTTTAAATTGGTCATATGTCTAAGCTGCATTGATTCGAAGGGCATGGTGTAAATAGGGAAAAGAATTGTGCTTGAAGGGAGATAAATCCAATAAAATGAATTGGTCTCAGCCCTATAATTTTTTTCCCATGAACTTTGATGTTCAATGTGGGGAGCAACGGTGGCTTAATGAGTAAGATGCTGACTCGCTAGCCTGGAGGTCGCAGGTTTAATCCCGGTTATTTTCTAGGGGGGGTTCCCCTTGTCAGTGGTGCAAGACGGAAGGTCTAACAAGGACAGCTGTCCAGTCATTTGGATGGGACAAAAAACTGAGGTGCCGTGTACACATTGGCATGCACGTAATAGATCCATTGGCATTTAATATGAGTAGGACGTAGCGCCCCAGTCTGGGCAAAATTTCCCTCATAGTACACTGTATGGCGGAGCCACAGTGAGTAAAAAGCTGGTTCGCTAGCCTGTAGGTCGGGTGCTCGATCGCTGCTCGATTTCTGAGATGATTTCCCAATGTCAGTGGTGCAGGATGGAGGACCTGACAAGGACAGCTGTCAAGTCATTTGGATAGGACGAAAAAAAACCCAGGTCCCATGTA